GCCCGCGGGTAACAGCCCTTCCCTGACTTCACTTTCCTTGAGCCAAGATCAGCCGACGCCCGGGGTCTCCCTTTCCTGGCTCCACTTTGCAAATCCTTTCCTAGCTCTTTAATGCAGCGCTTTTGATCGTCAGCTCCATGGGCTATCACACATTTAATTTCTTCTTTTAAACGCTAAGCAAGTGCTTGGCTATAAAAAACAAACATCTGTTGTTCCTTCAACCCCTTCCCCCGAAAAAGGGCAGATGAAAGCTTTTTTCTTTCAAAGCAAGTGCTTTGGATTCTAACAGAGTAGAGATCTCACCAGTTAAACATGGGCACAGAAACATGAAACACACGCACTCTCCTCTCCCACTTCTTCGCAGCACATCATTTGCTCTGGTGGATCCTGGAGGCCCTGCCAGATCTGCATTCTGCTGTGGAGTGTCAGTGCCATATCCCTCCCCCTTCCTCCACGAGCCTGGGGGACTGGCACATTTTCCCCTTCTGAATTTAAACCCGTGCAACACCAGCAGCTGATTGCAAAGGGTGGCGGGGATATGGGCACTTGGGGTGTTCACCCTGACTGCTTGAGAACAGAAATGCTCTCAAAGTTTTCTTGATAGTTTCAGTCTACGTAAGGCCTAGGCTACCCGGTACAGCCTAAAGAAACCCACATTGTATTACCAGATGCGGGTACCTACAGCATCTCTGAGAACAAACCAACATTTTCCACCATCTCTTGTCTGGAAGGCTCATCTTCCACACAGCAAAATGCATCCCCTTCTGAGGGCACAAAAGAGCAACCCTCTGCACAAAAAATACCAACATCTCGCCTACCCTAACGAGAACCTCATCAGTTAACTGTCCCTCCACAGCTACACAGGCAAACCAGTTGCCTGTGGACTCAACCTTATACTGGCTAGAGAAACCTTTTGCAGGTAAGGTTCAGAACATTCCCAAACAAAGAAACACCCTCCACCCCAAGCAGTCTTTCACTAATAGAAATGCATCTCTCTCTGTGGCTTTTGCCAGCACATTGGCACTGGGCAGAACACAATTTTTCCCCACCTCCCAACTCTGCCCTCCTCATAACAAGCTGTAGCCAGGCAGGCAAGACTCTTAGGCATAGACTATGGTTAATGAACCAAGAAAGCACAGTACATGTGGAGGGAGAGACTGGAAGCCTGAATCTGCATTATTCAAGCAAGCAGAATAGCAGTAACTCCAGTCAAAACACAGGCAAAACAATAGGGCTTCTGGTTGATGGGAAGTGTCACAAGATCTCCGAGTTTCCAGCAGCGAAGACATTTAGTCTTGTTCCTTAAAAATAAGAACAGCAGCCCCAGCAGCACCGCCTCCCCTACTGCCACTGCTGAATTGTTGTCCGACTACTGAACCTCCAAGGCCACCTTCTGCTGCATCACCCACTTATCAGGAGCCACTTACTTGATCTCCCTCCCCTCTCCCTTAAACTCATCTGAAATACATATATATATTTAAAAAAAAAAAAAAAATCCAGTGCAAACCTGACACAGTGATAATTTTAAAAGCTATGCTGCTCATGTCAAATTATTCAACATCTGTCTTCATGTTCCCACAAAAATTAGCATAGGATGGTGGTTTCTGATGACACCTCTAGTGAAATATTTTGACTTCTACCAGCAAGTTGCAAACAACCTGTCAAGAGGATAATGTCAGTTTTCTAGTACTGCATATTAAAGCCAATTGAGGGCTTATCTGGTGTGTGAAGCTACCGACCTGACCTAAAAGCAGAGGCTCTGGTGTCACAGGAGGGTGAATTTGACACACTACAGCTGGAGAACAGCAAGGCATAACAGAGCACAGGGCTGGACAGATTTAATGCCTTGACCTTGAAGAGCTGCTAAACAACTTTGCAAATCTTGGACTGACCCAGCCCTTTGGTGAGACTGTTTCTATAGCCCTCCAACCAGAAAACTCATTCCTGTAACCAACAGGCTACAGCTTAACCAACCACAGATTTAAGGGCTGGACAAGAAGAAATGGCTGAGCACAAAGCACCTGTGTACATGTGCGTGTATATATACACACACTCACTCATAAAAATACATATATGCATAGGCACGCATAGTTTGGAGAACCACTCATACGTTGTGCTCATACACTGCATTTTCCAAATGGATCAGCCAAGAAGTGGCTCACAGGAGCCAGCTCCACCGCTAGCAATTCAGCAATCTGCTCACCCATTTCTGAGGGCACAGGGTGCACTGGGATAACAGCAAAATAGCTCAAGAGCTCCATGCCTGGACTCCTATCCCACTGGCAAAACAGCTAGAGGCAGAGGCAGGGTAGAGGGACTGATCCCGGTCACCGAGCTCAAGGTTAATGTTCAAGTGTGTCTGTGCCTCCAGAAACTGGCAGCAAAAGACAGGCACGCACAGAGGTTGCAAGATGGTGTGAGGCATCCTGCATTGAAAACTCTAGGAAAAGAGTTTCTACTTTACAGGTAAGAGGAGCAGGAAACAAATCATGTCACACGTACATGAAATAAAGTGTGGATGTTTATGGCCTAAACCCAGGATATGTTTTACCATGACACTCCTCCATCGCAGAGGCAAGAAAACATTCTTCCACTAGATTTTTTGGCTGCCTGCAGTGGCATCTCACAGGTGATTCAGTGTGATGGTGTCTCTTTAAAGATAGAGCTTTACTGGGTCATTTATTCCCCACCTCAGAGGCCAGGGCAAGACTATTCTGTACTGGAAGTGCTTCACCCCCACCAGTTTCAAGTGCATGAAGCACTGCAGCCCATCCAGCCCCTCTGATCACGGTACCAGGCAGCTTTCACTGCTGCCCAGCCTAAACCTTCCTTATATTCCCCTTCCATCATCTTGCTGTAGCCCCTCATCACACACTGAGATGACCATTCCTGAAATGCCTTTTCTGAAGGTGAATTGCAAGAGGCAGGCAACAAAATATCCCTCTCTTTTATTCAGCCTGAAAGGCTGCTGCTGATCAGCTGGACAGTGCTAGCTGCAAGACAACCCAGAAATGTTAATTATATACTGCACACGGAGTAAGCAAAGCAGCAGCCCTGTGCACGCTCTGAAGCAGAGCTACACAAGTCCTGAAGTCTTCAAGGCTGACTAGGAAGCAAGAGGCATACTCTTCCCTTCAGAAACATTCCCTGTCCTCCCCTATCAGTCTAATGTATAGCCTCTAAGTGTTGATAACTCCAAGCCTGGAAAGGCGAGTCCCCTTTCTCCTTACCTCTTCCTCCCTCCTGCCAAATTCTGACATTTCCTAGAGCTCTATTACAGCTTGCTCCTCATCTTGATGATTCAAAGACACATCTAGTTTGGGAAATGGGGTACCACAAAAGCCTAATAAAAAGTTGCCTCTTGGCAGTCTACTGAACTGCCTTCTGTATCAGGCCAGCCTTGTCTTATTGCAACAAACAAGGCTGAAAGGATGGGATCAGCTAATGAGAAGAGGGCTTCAGACACACTTCAGTCATTACAACAAATGCCAATTTATATAACAAGCCTCTTCAGGTAGCAGGCTAAAAGCACCTTGACTCCTAATTAAATTGCACCTCCATTGCAAATGCTCCTCTCCCTGAAACCTCCTTACACACATTTTATTTATACCATTCATCTCAATAAACCTCTCCAACAACTCTGCTCTCCTAGACAGAGGTCTTTTGTGCACATCCATGTGGGTGTATTATTTAAAGGGTACATCACATGGATACTTTATCTAGTTTAATCTGATTTAATCTCAGCTGATTTACTAAAGTGAAATATATTTATAGACCCATATAGATGCCTCTCATCATCTCCATCGCCATAAATAAACATTCAAAAGTGGAAAAACAGATCTGAAACATGGTACTTGAGTTCCCATAATTTCTACATTAAGTACCACATGAGACTGACATTCACAACACAGAACACTCAAGTACAGCTTAAAGCTATGGTGAGAGACTAACATTTAGGACAAACCGAAGTGCAACGAGGCAGTGGGACTAGTTTCTAATCCTGCTTTATTTATCCTTGCAAATATAACAGTATCAATCCAGCTCTGCTCGAACCATCAATAACAGCAATCTCGCATCCAAACAAACAGCGCTGGCTGCACAAGGCATGAAATCAGTGCAGGGTAGTGGACTGAAGGCAGGATTGGCAAAGACAATATGAAAACTATTAGTCACCATAGAAGTTTGAGGTGTGCTGATTCCACGAGACACTGCTCTTGGCTGCGCTCAGCGACAGCTGCATATTAAGGCTACTGATGGTCTCAACAGATAGTTTGAAGAGGTAGGGGAGGGGAGAAGAGGGGAGAGACTGGATTTCTCCTTTGTGTAGTTAAGTAAGAGAACAGAAAGAAGTAGTGTACCATTTTGACTTAAAAGAATGCCTTCATCTTAGTGCATGAATATATCTGTGCTTTCTTTTGTACACAGCTTCTCCAATCTCTGAGAGAAAAAGACAAAAACATCAGTAAGTTATTCCAAAGATCTAATTTAGCAGCAACTCTATCAAATGCAAGTTCACTGAAGTGGATGAAAAATCACAACAGGCAACCTTCTAAAGCACATTTAAGCAAAATCAGTTTTAAGGTCTGTCCCTCTTGCTATGATCCTGAGCAGAGAGGCCATTCTACAGCAAGTGACAGCTACTCAGCAGCAATCACACTGAAACAAAATAGAAGTTCCACTAGCAGATTACCTGTTTTAAAGGATTAAATAACCTGCCCTGACCAGGTTTCTGTACCACAAACTCATTCTACTCCTCATCTTTCCAGCCTTCAGAGGGTCCTACAGGTTTCCTCTGAGCATGCAGACTGGGAGAAAACACATATACTAGGAGGAAGAAAGGGGAAGGAAAAAAAAAATAGGAAGCTAAACATCCTCCATTTAAAATGCTTATTTTACAAAACAGACCCAAACTCAAATTAACATCCCAGCCCTCAAGGAGAAAGGAGGAATTGTTTCCATTAAAGAAATACATCATTAAAAAGTGACCTACAAAGACTTACCCATAGTCAGTGAGACTGAACTGATCTTTGCCAGAGCTCACACAAGAGACTGGCTGCGTGCTGTTAAAAAAAGAGGGAGCGGGGGGGCTGGATTCTCTCACTGGGGTCTCTCTTCAGAGCTCAGAGAGCTTGGCTTGTTAGAGGCAGAGGCATGCCTTCCAGAAGGACTTTACAGCAACGCACAACTGAGTTGTAAGCCAAGATAAAGCCGGCTTGTTATGAGAGGCAAGTCTTGTGGGTTGCTTTTATTTATTTTTTCCCAGTGTATTGGAAATGCAGATCTTGTAAAGCGAGAATTAAGAGAGGGCTGGGGAGAGGGAAAGGGGGGCTGCACGGCTGGCTGAAGTAAATCCCAGCAGTTTGCTCAGCCCAGGGCTTGTGCTCGCCGGGGGCGCAGGGTGCCGGCCCCAGCCTCTGCCCCCTGCCCTCGGGAGCTCAGGGGGGCAGGAGCCAGACCTCTCAGGGGGACACCCCAGCTTGCCACTTGCCACCCTGCCTGCAAACAAGGAGGGGAAGTAAGCACCAGAACTGTAATAATAATAATAGTAAAATATAATAACAGAGGGAAAAAAAAATCAAGCAGCTCGACATCAGCTCCGCCACAAGACCACCACCCGCT